CACGTATTTTGTAATTAAGGATGTTCTTATTTCAAAATACTAACATGAATTCAACAAGTACATTGTTAATGGACTTAATAGACAGTTCTTCAGAAGACGATTCCGCCGCTGCTTTCGATGTTAGTTGCCCGGTCAGGCACAAAAACTAGAACCAAATGGATCGAATCACATATAAGAAATAAACAAACTCGTGGCGAATTTAATTTATATCGCGAGTTATCCTATAAAAATTTGTCCATGAATTGATAAAAAATGATATAAAAAAGAAAAATACGATTTTGCGCAAAAGAATTAGTTCTGAAGAATGTCTGGCTGTGTGTTTAAGGTAAGAAGAAAATTATTACACACAGTAGGTATAAATGTTTTATTTTCTAATCAAAACTAATTTTACTTTTAAAGTTAAGAAAACAAAATCATTTTAATAATTTAATCCTTGAGGTAATTACGAATATTCAGAGATTGTTCTGCCGAATCAGTATTTTGACTTTGCATTGCGTCAGGGCTATTGTACACTTCAACTGTTGGTGAGGTGTGAGATGACTGTGCAGAATCTGGTCGCAAAGAAGGTTGTTGAATAGGATAATCAGTTTCTGATGTGAGTGTATTCAGAGATTGTTCTGCCGAATCTGTATTTTGACTTTGCATTGCGTCAGGGCTATTGTACACTTCAGGTGTTGGTGAGGTGTAAGATGATTGTGCGGAAACTGTTCGTAGAGTAGGTAGATTCCTGTTTTGTAGTTTGAAAGGAGTACCGCCGGTGAAATTATTAACTGAACAACCTAGAGAATTGTCTGAGTAGTTTGATCTCTTAAATGTTGCCCTTTGGCTTCCATTACAATGTTAAATATTTGGCTCTATATTCTCATTTGTAAATATTCCGGCAATTGGCATGTGGTATCGCACATACTCAAGAAAAACTTTTCCATAGAACTAGTTTCATTTTTTGACTGGTTAGAAGCATTCTCCATTAACTGTATTCTTAGGTAGTCTCTCTCGGCAGTTCTTTTCTCCCTTCCTTTTTGTTCATCTTCGAGCATAGAATGGATCGTTTTGTTTTTTTTAATTCTAAATTCCTTCAAAGAATCCATGGACTCATCGCCTGTTAAGCTATCATCGTTCAGGGTATCTGTCGTGTTTCTGGAACTAGTTCCTACGTTTGTATGTTGATGTTTATTTTTCATGTGTGGAATTAAAAAGTCCATCAAATGTTCGTATTTCCATTTTGGTTTAGAATTCGCTGCTTGTCCCGAAGTTTTTTTTTTTAGCATTTAACGCTTGACGGTGCCCGTCTCTTAGTTTCTTCCATAATTTTTTTATTTCTTATTCGAGAAGAATTTTGTAATTATTTTAATACAGTGGGAGCAGTCCCATGGCAGTCAACACGAATTACGGAGAGGCTAAATCAAATCAGGCGTAATTAGAACGTAATATGTAAGAAAAAAAAATGTTTTACTTTACTTACCACTTGGAAAATCACACTCATTAAGTACTTCTTCCCACGCTGCTTCTATTAATTCGTTGTCCTTATACTCTTTCAAATCAAGTTGCCATAAACAGGGACGTTTTCGTACACTTTCAATCAAATGCTCCATTATAATTAAAGTGACGTGCACATTCTTTGGTGAATGAAAAGAAACTGCAGGCGGAGGAGGGGCAGCGAGACGCGGGCGCGTGAGGCAAAGGGGAAAGGTGTGCGGGGATCGGAATATGTCTTGCTATACCATAATATATAGTAATATGTAATAATGTATATTACGGTATCACTTGGTGGCGTCACAGAAATATATATATTATAGCTGAGTGTGCAGTCACGCGAAAATTAGTATAGAAAATATATAGTAATATGCCTAGCTATAAAAATATTAATATACAGCATGATTTTTTAGTCATCGTCCAAATTTTTTCCAGCCGCTAGGTATCATTCAAAAACTCCATTTTGGAAAAAAAATTGATAGGTCTATTTTCAAAATGAAAATATTTATTCCGAAGTAATACTCGACAAAAATTGGTTACCAATTTATACTATTATTATTTACTACGACTATGCGTCTATTAATGAATGCCATACGCTAACCGCGCGGATTCTCCAATCATACGCCAATCAAAGCAAAATGCCGCCACCGCCGCCGCCCGCGCCGAACGCTATTGGCGGCTGTCACTTCAGTCGTCACACGTCCGTGTAATGCTTCGTACGTGTGTGCAACGCTATCTCGCTATTGAAAACGCATTCACGTGTCACTATGTATACAAACCGCGAGTACTTTAAAATGGTCAAGTGCTATTTTATAAGTGATGAAAGTCTAAACGGAGCCCAGAGACTATACGAGTCAGAGAGCATTCCTCGCCTTCGCAATTATGGAATAGCAAGTCCTACAGTCCCCAACCGCCAAACGTTTCTGCATGTCATACAGAGGCTTTTAGACCATGGCCAGTTTACGACGCCTTCACACGCCCAAGGACGTGACTAGGCCGCGACTGTCCGTGGAAATCGAAGACGAAATCTTCGATTTTTTCGAGAGAGATCCAAGACGAAGTACACGTGATGCAGTTCGACGGTTCAACGTTAGCCAATACGCTGTGTGGAAGCTGCTCAACACCTCTGGATTGCACCCTTACCACTTTCAAAAAGTGCAAACGCTAAATGAAGTAGATGCGCTGCCTCGTCGAGTTTTCTGCGAGTGGCTGATCGCACACCCCGATGCGGTCATTTTATGGACTGATGAAGCCCTATTCACACGTGTGGGGCTGTACAACCAACATAATGAACATTGGTGGTTGTATCGCAACCCGCACATGATAAAAGACAATTATCACCAAGTGCGTTTTAGTGCAAATGTGTGGGCCGGGATTGTCGGTGATAAAATCCTAGGGCCGTATTTTATTGAGGGGCGGCTGACCGGAGGCACCTATCTCAATATGCTACAAAGCATAGTCTCTGATTTGATAGACGACGTACCGATAGCCCACTCATTCACTAACATCATTAAATACGCCTTATTGCAAAAGGCATGGCCTGCTTTTATTTTTATACTTCTGTGTACGATATGAGTGCGGACTATATTTGTCGTAAATCGCTATTTTTGTTTAAATTTATTGATATTATTATAAAATGTTTCTAGTTCACTAATAAAAAACACCACGTGCGTAGATAACAAAAGGGCGATGGTAAGATTCATTCATTTCTTTATTACTTGCTAAATACTAATTCGTTACAATTCATCGTAGGAAACGAACCTTTTATTTGTTTGTCTCACAAACAAAAGTAAAGATTATTTTCTTTTGTTCTTTACACATGGTAAAATTTTTAGTGACTTTGAAATTCAATAAGTAAATTCTTCGATGGCCTTCGGTAACACAACGCTTTAAATGCGTAGAAGTTAAGTTCGGGAAACGAACTTTCCTAATTAGGTGTGTTTATCAGGTGCATTAGTTTTTATCATTATTTTATAATAATATCATTAAATTTTGTCAAACCTCTAAAACAATTTACTTATAAATAACTTCCGCTCTCGTTTTCGTGCGTTAATGTAACAAAATCTTGACTTGAATTCGAATTAATTGTCTACATTCTAAAATAACATCACAAAAGCCTTTTGTAACTTGACGGTCCTAAAGCGCGCTCCATACTCTCTACCAGAGGTTTTGTCTCGGGTCTCGACAAAACTATCGACGAGACGAGAGCAGCCCTCCACATCCTCGATCGCTCATTTGCGCGCTCGGCTCTGAACAAGATGGACGTGGATCTGGATACAGCTGTCGCTGCAGTATTATTTGCTGTAGCTCATTATAATTATGTGTTTATCCAAGAAAAAAAAGTTACTAAGAAACGTTGTAAAAAACGAAGATGGTGGATGACAGCAATACATCGCAACAGAACAAGGTAAAATGTACATTATTTTAAGCCTTAGTGTTTTCACATAGTGACGTGAAGTGACCTATATCTAAAGTAATTGATTGGTTTGCTGTTAATAACCTACTTCTTAATGAGAAAAAAACAAATTGTGTGAAATTTACATTACCCAATGTTAGAGAGACGGTTACAAACATTGTAGTTAGAAATGAAAAATTGAATCTTGTGGATACAGTTGTATTTCTAGGTATAACGTTAGATGCTAAATTGCAATGGGGTCCCCATGTAAGTAAGTTATCAAAACGGCTCGGCTCTGCAGTGTACGCGATTAAAAAAATAAGGAAACTTTCAGACGTCGAAACCGCTAGATTGGTTTACTTCAGTTACTTTCACAGTCTAATGACATACGGCATTTTGCTTTGGGGTAATGCCGCCGATATCAATAGAATCTTTGTCCTGCAGAAACGTGCAGTTAGGGCAATTTACAATCTGGGCCCCAAAGTATCTTTGAGAGATAAGTTTAAGGAAATTAACATTCTTACACTAGCCTCACAGTACATTTATGAAAATGTAATTTATGTTAAAAGGAATAGTAATTTATTTATGAAAAATAGTGACAGACATAACATTAATACGAGGAATAGAAATAAACTAGCTTTTCTTGATAGTCGTCTTCACAAAGTCAAAAAATCATTTAAGGGGCAATGTATACGCTTCTATAACAAGATTCCGGTTGATATACAAAATTTGCCTTTCTCGAGGTTTAAAACTATAGTGAAACAAAAACTTTATACTAAAGGTTTTTATACAACTTCTGCGTACTTGGATGACAAAAATCCGTGGTAGTAACCCGTTTAGCTCATGGAGGTAGTCTCGATCTCTGATGTTTCAAATAAAAATAAAAAAATATTGTAAATGCTATTTACAAAGAGCAACCCCTAGAGTTTCTTGCTCATTCTTCTCAGGGGAATCTGCCTTACGAATGAGCGGTAGAGTTTAACCATTGTGACGATTTCAAGTGTAATAATGCTTACCTATGAAATAAAGATTATTTTGCGTTTGAGTTTGAGTTTGACCAAAGAAATCAATGTTTCTGTAGAACGAGTATGGCCATACTACGGGATGCAAAAGGAGAATGGGCAAAAATTTATGGAGCTCAGTCTATTTTTATGCATGAAACGGCAGTAAAAATGAGTATGAGAATAATTATACTGGTTTGTTTAGGAATTATCTAATATTTTATTTGGTGACAAGCCTCTCGTGACGAGGGGCTTTCGTCACTGTGTGACACATAATTGCAGGTGGATTTTGACCACCCCTTATGGGAATATGGTAGTGAGTGTGTGTTTATAATATTATAATAAAGTGTTTACTTGTGGAATTGTTTTATTACAGTGAAACAATGGAGAAACAATTATCAGAACTAATTTACGAACCCAGTCGTGAGTTTCACAAGTTCACTCGGATGTCACTAGAGGATTTTGAAGATTTACTATCTAAAGTTAGCCCATTTATTATGAAGAAAGATACCCAGCTACGTGAAGCTGTTCCTGCCAAAATACGTTTGGCTGTTACGCTGCGCTTCTTGGCTTCTGGGGACAATTACGAAAGCCTACATTTCCTATTCAAAATTTCACCTCAATTAATTTCTCAAATTGTACCAGAAGTATGTGAGGCTTTGAATAAAGTCTTAAAGGATGAGATAAAGGTGAGTAATAAAAAGCAATCATGGTTATTCTGAACGCTCAAGGCAATTTGCTTTGGGTTTTCTATTCGAAATTGAACCTTATTACTAAGGAATACGGCTTTTGCAATCCAGGCAACAGCCGAAGCCGATTGCCTTGAGCGTTCAGAATAACCCTGAATAATAGGTAGGTACATATCAAATGTTACATTTATTTCAATGACTAATTTAGAAAGAGGTAGGTATTATGACAATGAATGAATGACTTAGCAAATTATGAAAGTATGATTAAAGAAAGAATAAGAAAATATATGACGCAAAAGTGGAAGTACAAGTGTTACAATATTTAAAAATCAAATTCTTTTATTTTTGTCTGCGTTCACTGCAGATTGAGGCAAAATTAGCAAATCAGATAAAACTGTTATCGAATTCTGATTGTCTTGAGTATTCTCCAGAGATGGATTGGGAGATAGGTGATCTGGTAAGTGGATTAAGACTGGATTTTGCATGTTGGTGTTTGTTGTTGTGTCACTTTGTTGTTGCTGTTGTTGTGGCAGATACAGAGATGGTTGTTGCTGTGGCTGTGGCAGATACTGAGATGGTTGTTGTTGTGGCAGAATATGCTGTTGAGACTGTTCTTGCTGTGGCAGATGTTGAGACGGTTGTTGAATATATGGTAATTCTGTTTTTTTTGTTTTTTATGTTAACTAGTAGGCAAACGAGCAGACAAGCCACTTGATGGGAGGTGGTCATTGTCGCCCATGGACACGAGCAATACCAGAGGCATCACCCATGCGTTGCCGACTCCGGAGAACCTTGTTTACACGTCTTTTGAAGAACTCCGTGTTATAGCGCAAGGGGAACACTTCAGGAGGAAGGCCATTCCACATCTTACTGGTTCGGGGAAGGAACGAACGAGATGCTCGAGTGGTCGTGACGTGCCAAGCATCGAGGAAGTGGGGATGGAGTCTTCTCCTTCGGCGGGTCGTGCAGTGGTAAAAGAGTGACGGAGGCACCAACTCAAAGAGTTCGTCTGAGCACTCCCCGTTATACAGACGGTAGAACACACATAGAGAGCCAACATCTCTCCGCAAACTAAGGGGCTCTAAACCGTCTGTAAGCATAGGGTCGTCGACAATTCGAACAGCCCGACGTTGGATGGAGTCAAGTGGATCAAGCTGATACTTAGGTGCTCCAGCCCAGAGGTGCGAGCAGTATTCCATATGGGGCCGAACCTGAGCTTTGTATAGCAAAAGCCGGTGCCCCGATGTGAAACACCGCTTCGCTTAGTTGAGCACACAAATCTTCAATTTTTAGAAGCCATTTTGGCTTAGTAACATATCATTGATATGCAGGATAAACAGGGTTGGTGATAGCACTGACCCCTGGGGAACGCCAGCGTTGATGAGCATGGAGTCCGAGCAGAAACCGTCTAACGCAACTTTAATGCTCCGCTCGATCAAAAAACTGGCGATCCCGTAGGATGGTAACTTCGATAGAAGAGCCTTGTGCCAGACCCGATCGAAAGCCTTAGCTATATCCAAACTCACGGCCAATGCTTCCCCCCTGCTCTCAATGGCAGCTGCCCATTGGTGAGTGAGATCTTATATCTTTAGAAAACTATTATTTAAATGAATATAAATGTCCCGTATCTAACAGATATAACACCAGGAGGGTAAGGGAGGGAAAGTTTATACAGCCTCCGGTAGTTAACTATTACGGAAAAAGGTTAAATAAATATTTAGTGCCCAGGCTTTTTAATGATATAGGGTGGTTAAGAGATAATCCCAAGCTAAATAAGTCGGTCCTTAAAAAGAGACTAAAAGCCTATCTTTTGGAAAACATATAGATATTGTAATTAGTTATTCGTCCATGTTAGTTTTAAGATGATCACTGTATTTGCATAGGTGCATGATTCGACTATGTATTGAGCGCTTCATCGCCAACAAACTGGTTACAGTTTGGCGATAACTAAATTTATGTTATGAGCATGTACCGTTTGAATAAATAAATTAAAAAAAAAAAAAAAAAAGATACACAAGAAGATCACCAGCACCGCGACCACGACGAAAGCCGTACTGGCGGTCATTAATCAGCTGGCGATCCTAAAGGTAATCTAGGAGCTGGTTGTTCTGTGGTAGATAATGGTATGTTGTCGAAAAAATATCGCTCAGGAATTGGTTCTGAATACGAAGTATGACTGGAGTGTAGTCGGGCCATGTTTTTGGAGACAATTGGTTCAGAGTAGGAACTACGAGGAGAAGGTGAAGGTATTGAGACATATCTAGGTGGAGTGTTGCTTGCAAGTAGACGAATGATCGTGCCATCGAGTTCATACATCACTTGCACTCTTTCGTGTTCTGGGAATTTTCTTAGTTTCTTTGCCAACATTCTGCCATATAACTCACACTCATCTTCCTCCTGGGCAGAAGTACTCACACTTCTTTGGTTTAATACTGCATTAAGAGTATTAAGCGCTTTATTCATGGTTTTTCCAGCGTCTATCAATTCCGGAGGATTTTTACGTCGGCGACTTGTTTGCGAAGCATACATATACTTTCCTCATCTACTGATTCCGGATTTCTTTCTTCATTTACTGCCACATCATCTTGACTACAATCAGTGTCTTGAGTCTGTAAAATAAACCAAAATATTTGTTTAAATTTTGTTTATTTGTATAGTTTCTAACCTATTTTATTAATTTACAGCTACCATCATCAAATGAAGAATGGCTTGAAATAGAAAAAGGCTACAGAAATAAATTTCCTCGATGCATTGGATCATTAGACGGAAAACATATTGTTATAGAATGCCCTGCCAATTCAGGATCGGAATATTACAATTACAAAAAGGATTTCAGTGTTGTTCCTCTCGCCGTAGTGGATAGTAATTACAATTTCATTTTTGCTGACATAGGAAGCAATGGTCGAATGAGTGATGGAGGTATTTTTCGGGAAACTGTACTATGGAACAAAATTACTACAGAAACACTCAATTTTCCTGATCCTCATCCATTACCAGGTTCTGATGTAAATGTACCTTACGTATTACTAGCAGATAGTGCATTTGCACTTCACAAAAATGTTATGAAACCATACCCTGGAATGCATAATATTGGAAATCCGAAACGTATATTTAATGAAAAATTATCAAGATCACGGGTGATTGTCGAAAATACGTTCGGAGTACTTTGTTCAAAATTTAGAATTTTCGGAAAGCCATTTGCGCTGTGTCCCGAAAAAGTTACACTTATTATACAATTTAGTTCTTTAACTGCATCTGGTATTTTATTAAATAATTTAGGTGCCAATATAAACATCGTTCTATTGTAAAATTCCAAGGTGGGGCGTTGTTTTGGCCGTATTTCTATTTTGTTCCTTGTTTTCCTGGGATGTCTGGTTTTCACTAGATTAAAGTTGACTGGATTTTGTTTTATATAAACACAGGCCTCGTAAATATACATAGATGGTAGGGTTAAAATCTTTAGTTTTCTAAAATAGGGTACACAACTTTCTCGCCGGCCCACACCAAACATGGCCCTGACACATTTCTTCTGGGTTTTAAACAGTGGTGTAATATGTGTTGCAGCAGCGTTCCCCCAAAGCAGCAGACCATATCGTAAACTAGAGGCTACATAGGCGTGATAAGCACAAAGAGCATTTTTTTGTGACGTTATTCTCGTCAGATTTTTCAGGACATATACGTATTTATTAAGTTTAGTATTTAACTTATTTATATGTGACTTCCAGCTCAAGTGATTATCAAGAGTAAGGCCCAAGAAATTTGTTTCATCAACCTGAGCTACATTTTGTGCATTGTAGGTTATAGTTAAATTTTTTGGTCGTGATTGTGGCATGTAGAATTGCATAAACTTAGTCTTGTCCAAATTTACTATGAGATTATTTAATTGTAGCCATTTTATAGTGTCACTTAGTGCATCATTTAAAGTTGATTCATATTCATCAATATTAGTGCATCTCACAACCACAGAGGAATCGTCAGCAAAAAGTATCATCTTTTGTTGAACATGGTCTGGCAAGTCGTTAATATAGAGAATAAATAATAGTGGCCCTAAAATACTGCCCTGCGGTATACCGCGCTCTACAGTTCTAATATTTGATTTGGCTATTTTCTCTGTGTTTTTGTCCATGTATGTAATATGTGTCTCTTGTTGGCGATTCTCTAAATATGATTTTATTAGATCATGTGCTGGTCCTCTCAATCCGTAGTCATATATTTTGTCTAATAGTAACTTATGTGACACAAAGTCAAATGCTTTCGTCATGTCCATGAAGATTGTAGATACTGCTTCCCTTTTATTGATACTATCCGATACAGTTCTTAGTAAATCAATTATTGCATGATTAGTAGATTCATTTTTCTGGAAGCCATACTGTTCTGGTTTTAATGTTCCAGATTTTTCTAAAAATCCATAAATACTATTATAAATTATTCGCTCCAATATTTTTGATAAATAAATAAATAATAAATAAATAACGCACACACTCAACATAGCCCCGCACTAGGGAAATCCTGTGTCGCGGGTGCCATGGACACACACATAGACAACCACAAATTACACCCAAACTCACGAGAGAAATAAATGTAGGCCATACAAACATTTCTCCCGGCCCGGGAATCGAACCTGGGACCTCTGCGTGGCAGTCCGGCATGGTAACCAATCGGCCACGGAGGCAGTACACACACGTACTACTTTCAAGTCTAGTCACATCTTTGAATTCCAATCTGAAGTTAAAGCTGTGCAGCAAGTTAGTAAAATCTCGACTGATGGTATTGTCATCTAGGATATTTATATTAAAATCACCACAAATTATTGTTTTTTTGTTTCGCACATTACTAACTTGATATAAGAGTAGTTCTAATTGTTTTAAAAAGAGAACTATATGTTGTTTGTTAGGAATTCGATAAATGCAAACTATAATAAGGTTTTTTGCTAGTACTTCTATTGCACAACATTCAAAGATCATGTGTATTGCTAATTTGTTTATTTCTAAAAGTTCCTTGTGTTCAATACCTTTGCGTAAAAGTATGCAAGATCCACCTCTCTTTTTATTGCGTGAGTAACTTGTAGCTAGTCTATAATTATTTAAATGAAGGTTACATTCATGTTCCTTCAAAAAAAAAAGTTTGAAAAAGTGTTCAGTCAGACATATAACGTCAATGACATTGTTATTTTGTTGTAACTCGTCTAACACTGCTTCTAATTCAGACACATTTCTAAGTACGCTACGTATATTTTGATGTAGTATAGTGAAATATTTTATTTTTGCGGCATTGTTAACGAAAAAATTCTAAGGATGGATTGATAGTTTGCTGTTTTTCCAAGGTATAATTAGTAATTCCTTCTATTAATTCTAGTACATCATTAAATGTTACATCGAGTGCTCGTTTATTAGTACGTCCATTTTTTCTATTGAACATGTATGTTGAATATTCCAAATGTTTGTTGCAATCAATTAGGTAAGCGTACTCGAAATTCAAATTATCTAAATACAATGAGTTATTAAATACTTCGACTCTTTTGTTAAACAGATTGATGTAGTATTTATACGTAGGTGAACAAATAATTATATTTGTATGTTGAACTGTTAATAATTTCTCTCGAATAT